TTATCCACACATGCATACATATAAACATACTCAAACACACATGTAAACACTCAGACATACACAGATAAACTTACCCCTTGTTCGTCCATAGACAACTCACTCAAACACACAGCCTCATAGATGCACAGTCATGAAAAAATTCGCATTACACACGTATGCATTTATATAACACAGTCACATTCATTTACACTCATACATATCCACACACACACACACGTATACATATACACACTTGTACCCATATGTACGTACTCATGTACCCACACATCCACGAAGAGATGTCGATGCCAGATTGTGGTACAGGTAAACATTTCCTTCAGGCACACACCCCACAGGTGTTATATAAATCCTTGCACTAGCATCCTGCTAGGTAAATTGAGTTCAATGTCTTTTTCCTATCGCACCAGGGCTAGACCAGGTAAACGTAGGCAATGTTTTTACATTGAAGGTAAATGTAGTGACTTGGAGAAACGGATAGATGCTTTATGCAAGTGTGCGTGCTTGCGTGTATGCGTGTGGGTGAGCGCATGTGTGTATGCAGACGCGTTAGCGCAGTCGATAGGAGACTCGCTTTCAAATTCAGCTGCAACTCGCTGCAGCCCACGGCCGGTGTTAAAAACCGGACGCGGTTCTTGGGATTCACTCAGCCTTTAGGAAATGGGTACCAGAGTTAACACTCTGGGGTAAATGGAGGAACGTAGTTGTAGCTACGGAGTTTCGTGAGGACGGCGACACAGGCGGACAGTTTCTTATCAGCTGTCCATACTGGTGACAAAGCACTTATGGTTTATAACCATGTGCAATGTCGCTAGTTCACATCTCCCGACTTTACCGTTATCTTTTTAGACAGACAAACATTTTACAACACTTATATCATGGTTTTTTCCCCCTCCTTCAAATTTTTCTAGTGTATTTATCAGCATTTAAAAGCTTATGGTACAGGCGCAGAAATAAACTACGGTACACGTTTGAGAACACATCTTTCGCGTTTCAGTTAGTTAGTTAGTTGGGATATTTTCATTGCATTCCGGACAGTTCCATAGGTGCTCAGATCCAGCCTCAGTATGAACCCCAGCGTCCTGTGACTTATAGTGCCAGTTCTTTGTTAACTGATAAGTCTTTTTGTATGCCCGGTGTGTCTCTCGCTTGTGGCTATGCCGATCTTAAATCGCGAGTCTTTTGTTCTGGTGAGCGATGTGGAATCGCTGTCTCGAAAGTCTTCCATCCTTCCGTTCTCTGAGGGCATTACTAAAATCAGCATGATCAATGGGTTGACCTTCAGCAGTGACAGCGGATCCAGCCAACTTATCAGCCCTTTAGTTTCTATCGACGCCTGCGTGCCCTGGAACGAAGATCAAGACGACGTTACACACAATGGACTTCTGTAATTGCGTAATCCACTGCCTTAGCATAAAACCTGCCTGGATCTTCCGGATCATGCTCATGGAACCGCTAAGTTCACACCCACGGGTATAGTTTTGTGTTCTTAGCCATAAAAATGCTTGCGTTACCGCCATCATCACCTCCATACTCATGCTGCTAGTTGTCATGGAAAAAGCACCGCTAGCTTTTTTGATTGTTCTGCCCGCCGAGCGTGCTGTGAACATGCATTTCTTTATTGTCGTATAACAGATCCGTCTGTTTATATCAGTACATCTGCTTCGTCAGTTATCGCTGATGAGAGCGTTGACCTCTGCATTAACCCAAACAGCATTCTGCTCCTTGCATCTTCTGTCGAGCGTGACAATACAAGAAAAGGTGTAATTAAACACAGGGTGCACTGGTATCCACTTTTCAACAGGAGTGATATTGGTTGGGCTACATATTTGCTTGATGACATCTTCTGCCCGACCAAGCCATGACTTCAGCCTGTCGCCTTTTTCAGTGTAGACCGCTTGATTCAATGGGTGTTTTTTTTTTTTAATCAGCACTTATTTTAAGGTATGCACGAGCCCTCTAGATCTTGATCCTTTAATTCATGGTCGGAAAGTCATGCAAATATCTCACTGCTAGACTGAAGGTGTCTCGTATATCCGAAAATAATGCGCTTGACTTCATTTTACACCTTTTCAAGTCTTTCAATCTGTGTAGAGATAATATTGATGATGGTCATAGCATACTCAATGGGAGAAAGGACCAGCCCGTAGAAAAAAATACCTCTGATTGCTTTTGTTATTCTCTCGTTTTAACACAGGGATTTAAGTAAACTGATTATATTGTGATCACATAATAAGACAATCAGGGTTTTTGAACTAATATCTACTGACAACATTTTCCAATGCATGGATCGGTAAGTGGGAAAAAAAATAATAATAATACTGATAATCTAGAAGAGATAAAATACTAATAGTCTAAAAAAAAAAAAAAAAAATCCTGTCTCTAATATCTGAACTCCGAGGAAAAAAATCATGACACTTGTAAAAGATCGAGAAAGCAGAGAGGTTTAGCTGTTATAGACAATTATGGCTTTATTTCGCTCTATCTAGCTCGGTTGTTGCCCTAATGTGATAATTATTTCATCTACGAAAGTTCAGATAGCACACCTATTAGAACAAATGTAATTATGGTATACAGATACTTGGACGAGACAACTGGAGATAACAAAGGACAGAGAAAAACGGAGGATTAAATTTGTAAAGACATCCAGCAAATACGGAGAAAATAACAGAGTAAGGCATTAAATCTAGAGACGCGAAGAAAACCCTCACAGAGCCAGCCAAATGTAGAATCCCAAATAAAGAACGAACACAAAATTACCTAGCAGCAAACCGAGTATTGGAAACATAAAATCAGACAATTATAGACCATAATACAACAGAACGCTACCTATTGTCATGCAGAAATTATGACTTCGAACTTAGGAAATTCTAAAAATGCTTGAATAACAGAGACAATAGTCATGACAATGAAACCCTGGTCCAATATTCCATGTGCTGTAAAAGGAGGAGGAGGAGGAGGAGGAAGGGAAAAACAAAACGAATTGTAAAAAACTTACGATAATATAATGAAAGTCATAAATCTCACTGATAAATAATCAACAGTTGGGAGAGGAGGAAAACAAAGGGGGGGGGGAGAGGAGGTGCATTCAACGCCACCAGAGCCGCACAACAAGCGACTAACACTCGGTGATACAAGGTGCCATAAATCGGATGAGAATACCGGAGATTCAAGTCCCAGAACGAGGTTGACCAAGAGAAATCGTACCACACACTGTGATAAGGAAAGCCAGAGGTGAATGACCGGATTAAATTCATAACATAGGGTAGCATAGGATACAACCGAATGGAGGAATCAACTGAAAGCCTTATGTGGGGAATAAATGGCACAAGAGAATGATGGTGATGAGCTTACTCCGCCTAAAAAGACTTGTCTTCATTGATTTCCCACCCACCTAACGACCACCAAGTTGAAAATTTACTTTGCTTAAAAGCACTACCCGGAATATGACCTCCAACATTTGATCTGATTCTTTAAGCACGGTTTGTGATGGAAAATACAAATGCCACATTAGATGACGTCATTGAAAAGTAAGTGAATCAGCTCTTTTTTTTTGTGTGGGCGTCTTCAGAAACATTAGGTATGTTATAGTAGTACCTAATTTTTATCAGCACGCAATCAGTTACGTCGGTAATATCACGATGGCTCACTGTGCTTCCCGCAACATTTCCGTTTATTGTAGACTAGAAAAGTAATGCACCACATCGTTTTTTTTTTTTCTCATCTAAAAATCAGGATAGAAGCATGCTATTTTGCACACTTTAAATGTGGCATATTTTGATTATAAATAAAAACTTGCCTTGCAACCGGCCAAATAATACGGCTGCCCTAAACCGTTGGAATAGAGTGTGCTAAAAATGTGCATTTCAAGCAGCGAACTGTGATAGAATGTCTTACAGCAGAGAAGGGAACTGTTGTAAACATTCACATAAACTGATTTTCCGGAGAGGAGACAGAAGACTGTGGAGAAACAATCCCACAAAATACTGATTATAAGAGACAAATCGAAGTAAGTACCAATAAACGTATGGCGAGTTGCTTGGTGCAGAATGAGTTAAAGGGTGCAACTCTCTGGCTCAGAGGCTAGTTAAAGGTTCAAGTCGAAAGGATCGACTTTATTGCACATGGTGCTATTCTATATGACAGTCTCTCTCTCTCCGAACAACGGCTAGCCGTCTGCCTAGAGAGCAGCACAAAGCACGAACTCCATAGCTCCGGCGAAGATCCCCGGGATCTCCGTAAAAACTGCACTTGTGGACTGAAGGGCGCAACCGTGAAAGATCCCACGACTTTCAGAGCGCGAGGCAAAAGGCTTGACAACTTCGCCATGAAAACTCCCCCCCCCCCCATCCCCCCTCTTCCCTAAAGGTTAGTGAAATGTGTTGAGCAGTTTCATAAACTCGAGTACTAGGGTTTGATTTAAAAACAAAATGTTATCTTGGTTTCCAGACAGTGGTGTACGAGTCACACCGTGGAAGATTGAAGCCCCATCTAGGAAGTGTTCCTAAAGACAACAGTAGGAGCTGTGACGCCAATCTTAATTGTGGAAATAGCACTCCATTTCTTTAAATATTTTAACTGTTAAAAGGTCTACAAGACACACGTGAGCCATGTTAGGAACTGTATCTACGTGTGGCTCACGAGAAACCAGCGTACGAGTGTGCTGGGGCTGAAATCTTTATTACGACGTCCTTCAGGTAGACGCGAAGGAAATACACAAGGAGTGACTTATGCTATACAGGTAAACATTAGTATCTATGTCTGGTAAAAAGATCTCTCTCATCTCACACGTATATCTGCCGTAGTTCTCAAGTTTCCCGACGGTTGAAACAAGATGTTCTTCAGTGGGGTGCACGAACTCTGTAGCCCTAACAAATTATCCCTGTTTTTATCCATTAAAACAAGAAATACCAATATAATTGAATAACATATAGAAGGGAGAGAAAGAACTACAGGAAACGATAGACATTGCGGTGTTAGAAAGTGGAAGAATGGGCCTCATTTTGAATAATGGGAAGACAGAAGTAATGGTGGTATCAAAGAAACGAATTACTCTTAAATGTGTAATAAAAGTCGATGGTGTTATTTTAGGACAAGTACAGAAATTTAAGTATCAGGGCACATGGATAACATCAGATGGAAGATGCATAACTGAGATAAGAAACAGAATAGGACAGGCAAAAACTGCATTTTATAAAATGAAAAACATCTTGTGCAATATATCCTTGTCATTTGGAGTTAGAAAAAGAATTCTTGCTTGCTACATACATCCAGTTTTAACATATGGCTGTGAATCCTGGACAATCGGTAGGCAGGCCAAATAATTTCTAGAGGCCTCAGAGGTGTGGTTGTACAGAAGAATGCTAAGAATACCTTGGACGGCCAAAAAGAGCAACCAAGAGGTTTTGAAAGAGGCGGGAGCCCGAAGACAACTTATCACAGACATCAGAAGAAGACAGTCACCATTTTTCGGCCATGTAATGAGATGAGGGAAAACAGAACATGTTGTGACCACTGGAAAGATCTGTGGAATGAAGGATAGAGGAAGACAACGAGAGAAGATGCTTGACAGTCTTGGCTCATGGCATGGAGGTGTGTCTGCACACGAACTGATATATGCTGAAGGAGATCGCAGATTATGGAGAGGCATGATCGCCCACGCCAGTCGACAAGGCACTTGATGATGATGCTATAAGGGGGACTAAATTTTTAAAAAAAATGTCTTATTTACCTTTCTACAGGTATCCATAAACTCCTCCACTGAGATGACACCGTCCCTGTTGACATCCATTTTCTGCACAAACAGATTAAAAAACAATAATTTGAATGGCAATAGAAACAGTTTTATTCGTCTATACTCTCTCTGTCTCACACACATACACATTCTCTTTACATCACAACTCTCTCATTATTTACTGTTTCCTGTATCTCAGTCAAGCTTTCTGCTGTGTCTGCAATATTCTAAAATGATGTAACAAACTACGCCTCTGTTAAGCGAAACTGCTCGTGTGAGTTTCGGGGCCCTATTGAGGGGAAAACAAGAACAGAACCACTGGCTTCCCAGCAAGCATGTCGTATGAGTCGACTAACTAGGGACTTCCTTCGAAGTCGGAGTACATGTGCCTGAGTGCCAAGAAACAACTAACTGCACACAAATAAGTCAGTAAAACGGATGTACACGCAAAACTTAAGCCCTGGAAAAATGCCAAAGTCCAAATGGACGAACAACCAGATGCCGGGGGACCTAATATAACCTAACGGTTGAACGGGGTTTTTGGGACTCGCGCCCGGGCGATTCTCATCTGAATGTGTCACATTTTGACACCGGATGTTCATCGTTCGTGGTGCAATCCTGGTGGGGATGAACTTTATTCATTCAAACCACCTCTGCCTGACTCACAAACAACCCTACTGTCGGTCCTAATACTTGTCTATTCAATCACTAACCGAACAATTTTCACTAAAGATGAAAGAAAAGTTCGGCAGCATGCCACGGGTAAATGTTTAATAATGATGAGAGCAATACGCACAGCGGGTTATAGTCAGTCGTAATCAGCTGAAAAGGACTTTTGTAAAAAAAAAAAAGTAATCTGAAACCAACCACGCTGATATTCCTGTCACTGATCCCCCCCCCCCCCCTTACCCTCCTCCCCCCTCCAAAGTTGCTACACTGAGGTTCGGCACCAACGCAAACCGGATGTCAACCAACAGGAACAAGTCACAAATACCGTGTTCAGCATCTTAAGATAGTTATAAATAAAAGACATTTTGAGGACATTTTTAAGAAAAGTAACACGAGTGTCGTCTATGCTGATGCATCAGTAACCGATTTCTTTTCCCCTAAAAGTTGCTACCTGAAAGATTGACAGCACAGCAAGCCGAATGTCAATCCACTAGGAACAAACTACAGACACCGTGTTCAGCATCTTAAGATAGTTATAAATAGAGGACCCTAACGGTTACGCCAAACATTATCACGATGTTTTCAACTGTCCTATGTTAAGAGGTGTCTTGAGCTGTTTATACAAATACATGATTATAATAATGGTAATAAACATATTTAAAGAAAATATGAAACACAAATTAGATTAACTGCAGAAATCTGTTAGCAAAAAAGTACATGTTGTATAATTAAATTATTCAAATAGCTAGACGGTGCAAATTGGCAGCGACTTTCATCATATATGGCATCCATTTGCGTAAATGTCAACTTTCCGTGTGATGAACTGATTAATTTCAGAAAAATAAAAAAAAAAAAAAGATTTCTTGCAAACATCCCCATGTTGTATAATGACGTTTCCTATCTGTAGCTACACAATGTTAAAAATAAAATGACAAATAATCACAAACCGAAGTAAGAATTAGGAAAAAATATGCATTTCGCAGTTTTAGACATAGAAGAGTACAAACGAGTGTCGTATATTCTAGTTACAAATTAGATTTATAATTTCTATACATTCTTACTGCTTTTCTTTACCCTTCTAGAAGCAACAATGAATGCCCCATCCCTCAACCCCCAGTTTGCCACTAGCAGTCTCAAAATAAGTACAACTACACATACTTGAACTGCTGCTCCGTCTGCTACTTCTTACCACCACAACTAAAACTTACGTCGTTCCTTCTTCTAAAACTGTTTATGTAAAACTGTTGTTTTTCGCCGATGTAACCACACCGTAAAACACCCAAACTGAAACCTCCATAGCTAATTATGTTAACTGCTCAAACTTCCACACTTTGCTAGAAAAATAAATAAATGTATCCCTTTTTAGCCACCAAGTAGCGGGTTCTTGCAGAAGGTCGCTCTAATCAATGCATTTGGATAGTCTTCGTAAATTCGTCTGCTTCATTCACTTTGATGCTTAGAATGTAATTAAACAGGAACTCTAAAGACAGCTCGAGTTCATCTGCAAAGCTCGCCTGACTGTTATCCTCACAAACCACGACTAAAAATACCTAAGATTTCTTAATACCATGCATCACCCATCTGGCTTGTCAGCCTCTGCCTATCTTCTACAAACCACGGCTGCCATTACAGTTCTTTGTTAAACCCAGTAATGTTTGATGTGGCCCAGGTACTTCAGTTTCGGAGACACCATGCTGACCGTTTAGAGCAGTGCTTCTCAACCTTCCTAATGTGGCGACCCTTTAGTGCAGTTCTTCATGTTGTGGCAACCCCCCCCCCCCCCCCCCCCCCCCCAGCCATACAGTTATTTGCTTCTCTACTTTACAACTTCAATAAATATGTGTTTTGCGATGGTCTTTGGCTTCCCATGTGAAAGGGTATTTCGACCCCCAAAAAAGGGTGGCGACCCACAGGCTGAGAATAGCTGGTTTAGAGTGTAGAGTGTCTAGTATTTGTGTGCAGATAATTTTTTTTTTTAATGCTGAATTAAAAACCTATGGATTTTTCTCTTCAGTGTACGGTTATTCATCAATGAAGAACATTTCTATGTTGCCGCTCATTAGATAGATTTTTTTTTTTTTTAAAGAAATTGTACTAAGAATTGCTAAAAACTTAATCATGGGTTCTATCTTCCATTCAATAAATATCATTTCAAGATCTTGTCTGACCTTTTGTTAACAGATGGCAATTATAAAGGCTTGGCTTGGCTTTTTTACCCCACCAGGACATCACACAAGCGATAAACACCCGATGACACAAAGTGCCACCATGCGGATGAGGATCACCGTGGAGAGGTCCCAGAAACCGCGTTCAGACATTTGGCCATAATGATGACCTGCCTATATTGCGGCCCCTGGAAAAAGCCAGAGTGGGGCTTCAAATAACAAAAAATAACGTCCTAAGAAGGACGTAATTAATTATATCATAGATTGATGTAGGCAATTACAAAGCCAATATATTTGAAGTCTATGTGGGACGTTGTCAATGTATTCCTTGTTATAATTTTTGGTTGGCACATGTTTGATGAAAGGACAAAATACGTTTTTTTTTTTTCCTTATTTTTTAAAATTTTTTAAAATAATTTTTTTAAGTTATAAAACTGTTTTTAACCTCAAATTTGTGTTTTGGAAAAGAAACAATTCATTGTTGGCAACCCATGACGCTGTCTGAAAGGAGAATCGTATTATGTGGAGAGTCCCAGAGTTGGAATTTCACCATTTAAAGGTTAATAACCAGGTTGACAGAATCGACCAATGCAACAGACTCCCACTGACAGCATTGCATAAAGAAAGAACTCTGTAACTTCAGCGACGATCCCCGGAGATCTCTGCAAAATTTGCATTTTTGACGAGAAAGTCTCAGTCCGTGAAACGAACCTTCTGGGCGTGGGGCAAACAGCTTGACCACTTGGCCACAGAGAGAAACATCTGATCGTTGGTCCATGTAAACTGTCTGAAACGCGCTACTTTGTGTATTTCACATACCAACTTCATTTCTGGGCGGCTTTTGATGTTTCGCAACAAGAGAGTTTAGTGAAATGTTTAGAAAGGTGTGTATATTCCAACAAAATATCATCATTATTATCATCATCATTATAACCAACATAATCATCATTTCGTCTGAACTCAGTCCTGATAACCCCCTGTTACATAGTTGTATCTCGAAAGTTATCTCTCTCCCCCCCCCCCCATTTTTTTTTCACCTGTAATGTGTTCTTGAATTTGGTTTTGTTTTCAAATTGCTTTTAGCTAACTCTCTCTCTCTCTCTCTCTCTCTCTCTCTCTCTCTCTCTCTCTCTCTCTCTCTCTCTCTCTCTCTCTCTTTCTCTCTCTCACGTGTTCTCCCACTGTCTCTCTCGCTCCCGCACACAGATACACAAACAATGTGCACGTGGTCGTGACTTTCAGTGTATGTTGTTAAACCACGAACTTCTAATTCATTTATTGAATTATCTGTCACATTGTTCATCTACTAACCTGAAAGACACGCTCAACGTGTTCCCTGGCTGTTGTTGAGTCAATGGACGGCTCCGTATACCGACCCATCATTTCATAGATTGCTGTCACAATATCCAGCATTTCCTCTTTGGTAATGATGCCATCTCCATTTACATCATACAAACTGAAGGCCCATTGTAATCGTTCCTGGAATGTGCCCCTTGATAATACCGACAGGCCCATTACAAATTCCTGTAAACGAGGAAATATGGGGTTGGGTTGGGGGGGGGGGGGGAGAGGGTGGTGTTAGAGAGAGGGACAGGTGGGGAGGAAGGAGGGGGGGGGAGGGCATGAAAGTGAGTCACATGCAATCAGATGCTGCGTGAAAAATCATTAGCTAAATTTTTTAAAGTATTTGTGTTCGTGTTAACGTATTTTCTATACACGTGTGTTTACATTTTTAAAAGGTAAAGTAAAGTTATCATCTTTGTGTGTGTGTGTGTGTGTGTTTGCGTGTGTGTGTGTGTTCGTCCCAGTGACATAATTGTATTATGCCTGTTTACAGAGAAGCTGTGATATGTGCACCTTTAGGTCGGAAGTTTGACTTCAATAGGCATTTGTTCACCGTTTGGTTTCGTCAGACTTAATGTGTACTTATTCGTGTGGTGTCCTCTCTGTCCCTTTATCTACAGGTTTAGCCCATGGATAACTCATCTAGGGCAACTTCGTGTAGCCTGGTACTCGGCCTTCGAGGAAAGGTAGTGGCACATTATGAGCATTGCCTGCCATCTAAGGACGCTTCTATTCCTGCACAGCCGACACATGACGGTCTGGACGGTGCTGACTACTTGACATTACATTCGAATGGTAAGCTTCCCACACGTCACGCTCTGCGCCGTCTGGAGATCAACAGGAAGCAAGCAGCCCACAACATAGTGCACGACGAGGACGTGTGGCAGGAGTCTTGTGCGAGGATCCGTAAAACCAGCACAGAGCCTACTGGCGCCCGAGGGAAAGTACAGAGCTTCTCCTTACACACATCACAACGGTGTTAACTTTCCCTCAGGTGGTCACCGCGCTACAAAAAGGTTATAAAGTTTACAATTTTAAAGCAACAGTTAGTTTAATAGGCCGAAAAATGTCTGGACAGTAAAGAAATCTTGTATTGTAGATAAACAAACAGTTCTTTTTTTCCCCCCATCAAAGTAAACAGAGAGGGACAGAGAGAGATCGAACGAACGAACAAACTTTTTTTTTCAAAGGGTTACAAATTGGGCACGTAGGCCCGTCTGATATTCGGCCCTTCTAAGCACTCATTTTCAGAGTACCAATGCCTGTTATCATCAACAATGCATGTCATGGATATAATAAGTAAATATAGAATATTGCATACACACATCATGCGTATACAATCTTACATACTCACACACACACACACACGTATATATATACTCTTACGTTCTCATACATGCACACTCATATACAGTCATACCTAATACATACATACAAGCATCTACATACATACACAAACAGAAAACACACACATACATATATGGTCATACATGCACACACCCTTTCCATACAAAGACACGTACACATGCATGCATGCATACACACGCACACAATCATATGTACAGACACCCACAACCACACATTTACACTCACATGCGAGACAGAGAGAGAGAGAGAGAGAGAGAGAGAGAGAGAGAGAGAGAGAGAGAGAGAGAGAGAGAGAGAGAGAGAGATAAAGAACAGCTGACTAAATACACAACACACCTCAAAGCTGATGGAGCCGTTGTGATCGTGGTCAAATGTGTTGAAGACATAGTGTGCGTACGCTGTGGCGTCTGTGGAGAAAGAACAACAACATCGTGGCTCATTCGATCATCACTGAAATAACACAGCTATTAGACATCAGGACGACACGAAAGTAATCTCTCTGGACGTCTTGGGACTTTGCGCATCTTTGCTAATATTTGTCTAAATGTATTATTTTTTTATATTATTGTCTCATATTCTTTTGCTCTTCCCCCTAATGGGTTGCGGAATAGAGCAACTACAGCTTAACAAGCAAGTCGTAAAAGGCGACTAATTGAAAATTTGCCGAAATCTAATGTGCTGGACCGCAAGGCGCAAATATTACAATCTAGCTGAAAACCACAACGGGTCATCTGCTCTCTTAGCAAGAACGCGAGGAAGAAGCTTGTTCTTCACCCCCTTCCCCCCTTCCCCACCCCAATCCCCACAAATACTGAAAAAGAGAGTTTATATAGATGGCTTGAGGTAATGCTTAGCTCATTTACACATTTTATAGGGGTGGGGAGTTGGGCTGCAGGTTCCGTCGCCCCTGATGTGTGGTATGAACTCGCATTGCTGTACTACCAGCTAATATAGTCTATATGCACTAATGCAGGCCCACAAGACTTCAAGGACCACGAGTTCAGTCTCCATAGGCCGCAGTGTAACGGCTCTAGTGTAGATCCATCTTCTTCTTCTCTACGTTCAGTTTCGCATGCTCAGATCAGGCCATCAGGTAGGTTGCTTCTATGTAATCGCATGTCGGCTGCAGTCCTTCATGGTTCCCCAAAGCTTGCTCTGCACGCTTCGCTCTTTCGACCAGTCTTTATTTTATGCATGTGGTAGCTGAGCCCGCATTGTCCTGTTCTTAGGGGGAAAATTGTTGTAGTTTTGTTTGTTTGTTGAGTCTGCTAATGGGATCTTGTGGATGTTTACAGTTGGTTTGTTCTCTCCACACATTTTTGTATGTTGCCTTGATAAGTGTTTTGATTTATGATAACTGCAATGAATGAGTGTGTTGTTTCTAGTCGAGCCAGTCTCATAAAACTATGTGCCACATGATTTCCAGAATAGTATGGGAAGGAAAGGCAAATAGAGTAAAGAAAAAAGTCCCTTTACATATCAGTGGCGCATGGGGCAAATGAGGCTAGATTCATATTAGTATAGACCATCTCGATGGGTGATGTAGTCAACATGACACTGGTCGCCTCTACTTCCAAAGGCTTTACATAGTACCCATTTAAGGCTAGGTCGACCTTTTCAACCGTCATGGGAGGGTAAGTCACTTACAAAAAAAAAAAATTATTTGACCATTAATGCCTATATAGGTATCCCCCCAAAATGCACCCTTTAAAAAAAATACCTTCACCCCCACCCCTTTTTTATATGATATTAAAAAATATTATATAGCGAAAGTAAAGTAATACAACAAAGTCTCCCCTACCCTTTCTACATTACAAAGATTTAATATGGGACATATCAGATATCTAGTCGATATTTCATTGCTTCCCATACCCGAATCAACATGTCTATTGTAACAGCAGTAAAGACTTTAAAAAATTTTATATATATATATATATATATATATATATATATATATATATATATATATATATATATATATATATATATGTGTGTGTGTGTGTGTGTGTGTGTGTGTGTTATATATAAAACATTAAAACAGACAATAAATTCATGACATGGGAGGTTTGAAGAACTGCTTATCTGTTTTATTCAACCATTTGTAACATGTGGATGCGAATTACTGGACAGTAAACTAGTTAAACGCCCGTGTGTCACCGAGGCCCTCACAGAAAGCAAAGAATAGTGACACTGCACCCTACCAGGAATGTGGTAAGAGGCGACTAAGTAAATCCTAGCCAACCAAGATGAGGGGAGGCTCTTCAAATAGAAGAAGTATGACACGGTGTGGAGAAAGCCCTAAGGAGTCCGGATCGTTGACGTACCTCCTCTTAGCTATGAAAACCTACAGAATTGGCAGCTGGAATGTTAGAACTCTCTATCATATAGGGAGAACAATGCAAGTAGCAAAGGAAATGAAACATTAAAGAATTAGTATTTTAGGGTTATGTGAAACTAGATGGACTGGGGCGGGAAAAAGTATTCTAGATTCAAAGGAAACTATTTTGTTGATAGGGAATCTCTCTGGAAATTGATGAGGCACTATGGAATCCCACAGAAAATTATCAACTTAGTAAAGGCAACATATAAAGACATGAAATGTCGAGTTCTTCATGAGGGAAAGCTAACAGATGCATTTGAAATAAAAACAGGGATGTCTTTTGTCGCCTCTCTAATTTTCACTGGCTATAGACTGGACTATGAAAACAGTAACTGCTAACACCAAGAATGGAATTCAGTGGACCCCTACAAAACAGCTTGATGATCTGGACTTCGCTGACGATATTGCTCTTCTGTCCCATTCACGGAATCAGATGCAAGATAAACTAAATATACTTAATGCGAGATCACAGCAGCTTGGTCTGAAAATCCATAAAGGAAAGACGAAGAAAATGAGATTAAACCAGGCAAATAGTAATGTGGTTTCTCTTAATGGAGCCCCACTCCAAGACGTGGAGTCGTACACCTTTTTGAGCAGTAATGTAGATAAAGATGGAGGAACTGATAGAGATATTAAAATAAGAATACAAAAGGCAAGAGGAGCTTTCACAGCACTATGGAATTTGTGGAGGTCAAAAGAAATTAAAAGAAATACTAAACTAAAACTTTTTAATTCTAATGTCAAACGAGTACTTTTGTATGGAGAGGAAACACGGAGAACAACTAAGGCAATTACTAATAAATTACAGACATTAACTGGTGCCCGCGCAGAATAGAGGGAATTAAATTATATGATAGAATAACTCATGTAGAGTTTGGGAGAGAAATAAACAGGCTCCAATGAAAAGAGGTGAGGAAAAGACGCTGGCGCTGAATTGGACACACTCTGAGAAAACAGGAGAACAGCATAACCAGAATAACTTTGCATTGGAACCAACAGGGGGCACAGGAATAAAGAAAGGTAAAAAAAAAAAAAACACATGGAGAAGAGAGCTGGAGAATGAGGTTAGAAAGATGGGGAGGACTTGGGGAGAGCTCATGCAATGGCGAAGGATATAACGACTTGACGTGAGTTGGTTGAGGGCCTATGCTCCATTGGGGGATATAAAGGCAGAAGAAGAAAAAACTATAAAAAAAAATACATTTTTGCCTCGGAGATGATTAACATAAAATTTACTTGAAAGCAGTAAAGACAGAAGAAAGCTAACCAAAAACACCCATAAAAGGCAGCCACAATATTTTGGTCACGTTATGAAAAGAGAAACACAGGACGACGGGAAGCATTTTATGGAAAGAAAGACACTGAAAAGCTATAAATGAGGATTTTTGACGGCCTTTTGTTTTGGCATGGAACGTTGTCAGCACAAAATTCTATACATGCTGCATGAACGAAGATCACTATATAATGAGAATCGTGATTGCCAACGACGTCAGCTGATTATTCAGTATGGTTTATGTAGATAACTGTTTAAATATATATATATATATATATATATATATATATATATATATATATATATATATATATATATATATATATATATATTTGTGTGTGTGTGTAATGTTGAGAATTCACGGGAAAATCCCAAAGAGTTTCCGATTGGGGGGACAAGGTCAGAGGACCAATGAAACTAGACGAAAGGGTGGAAAGCATGTCTCGAGTATCCCGTGGTGGGTGAATAGAGAGGTACGAGGAAAGCATGGGACTTGAACGGAAGGTGTGAACCTAGAGAGGATAGGAAGTCAGTTGAAGTTTGGAACTGGATGTGTGCAGTCGAATGGAACAGAACAGCTCAGAAGAATGCATACCGTCTGACCACGTGTTTGTTCGAGAGCAGAACTAAATGTCTACTGACTGCAGGTTTCGACTATGTACAGGTGCAAGAAACAAGATGTTAGCCTGATCCAGATGTATGATCCGAAAAGTAATGGCAGAGAGATTCACAGTGTGAGATAGTTGGTAATATTGTCATAAAACAGCCATGCTTAGCCCTCACGAGAATACAAATGAGCGTTTAGTCAGTGCGGCTGCTGGATCGGCGAATAAAGATCAATAACTGAGTGTTTGTCCTTTGGTGTGTTCCTGGTGACTTTGTGTAACTAAGAACGTCAGTATAGCATTGTAGTGAGTTAAACCAAACCCTAGACAGAGCAACATTGCAAGTTATATATATATATATATATATATAAATATTAATTGTATTCATACAACATTATGTCTCTTTGTCTCCCAAACTTTCATTGCAGTCAAGAAGTTCAATAAGCATAGGTGTGTGCAGTGAGTACATTTACATACTTCATTACTCATATATATAACATTTATGTAAACTGAGCTGCACTTTACACACTCCAGTGTCTGTATATAAACATTTCCCACACAACATTTCGTGATCAGCAATCCGTTATTTCCAGACATCAGACATAAATGACAGAGGCAAAAGCGCGGCCTGACAGACTTGATTCATCGTCCTAGGACACACTGTAATGTGCTTAGAACGCTGCAACACAACAGTTTTCAATCGTGTCTCCAATGGTTCATCCCCACGATCACTTCTAACAGTTTGAAACAGTGAATCTCGCTTGAAAATTATAGTTTGTAAAGATGGTAGTTAGTGACCCTGATGTAATGACCCACTCTGAAATAACCCTCTCATTTAAATGCCAACTGCAGCGAGAGGAGGTTTGTTGGTGTGTTTTATTAGTGACATTTTTGAGTTAAAAATTTTTTCTTGATTTAACATAAAGAAAGTTTAGCTTTTTCTGAAAAATGACTTTTATAAAAAATAAAGAAAAACATCTTCGTTCAGAAAGCATTATCTCCGTGTGGAAAGTGGGCGTCCAGAAAGCATTATCTCCGTGTGGAAAGTGGGCGTCCAGAAAGCATTATCTCCGTGTGGAAAGTGGGCGTCCAGAAAGCATTATCTCCGTGTGGAAAGTGGGCGTCCAGAAAGCATTATCTCCGTGTGGAAAGTGGGCGTCCAGAAAGCATTATCTCCGTGTGGAAAGTGGGCGTCCAGAAAGCATTATCTCCGTGTGGAAAGTGGGCGTCCAGAAAGCATTATCTCCGTGTGGAAAGTGGGCGTCCAGAAAGCATTATCTCCGTGTGGAAAGTGGGCGTCCAGAAAGCATTATCTCCGTGTGGAAAGTGGGCGTCCAGAAAGCATTATCTCCGTGTGGAAAGTGGGCGTCCAGAAAGCATTATCTCCGTGTGGAAAGTGGGCGTCCAGAAAGCATTATCTCCGTGTGGAAAGTGGGCGTCCAGAAAGCATTATCTCCGTGTGGAAAGTGGGCGTCCAGAAAGCATTATCTCCGTGTGGAAAGTGGGCGTCCAGAAAGCATTATCTCCGTGTGGAAAGTGGGACCAGATTTTGGGGAGTAAAAATAATAGACCTACTTCTCTCGTAACAAGCATGTTGTAAAAGTCAACTAATAAGGAATGTTTTCTTTGAAGTCGGAATGCATCTGCCTGAGAGGTGAGGAACCAGCAGTCTGCTTTCAAATGAGACAGATGTGTAAAACGGATGTGCACGCAATGATAAAGTTTTGAAACAAGCCAAAGTCCAGAAGTCAACCAACAACCTGCACTTTCCAATGGAGTTTACAGCCGGTGAACGCGAAAATGGTTGCTTCACAGAAGCTAATGAAAGTAGATCTCTATGTACAACAATATGAAAGAGACAAACACTGTTCTTTGGCCACCTAATGAGAAGAGAGACATTTCAGAACATCGTTACAACTGGAAAGATCAGTGGAAAAATGGGTAGAGGCAGATCAAGAGATATGATGCTCTACACGGGCTGAAACGATGGCATGGAGGGATATCACCAAGAGAGCTGTTCCAGGCAACTAGGGATCGTGATCTGTGGAGGCGCATGAGAGCCTACGCCAGTTGGCTGGGCACATTATGAAGATGATGAACGCAAAGAAGAAGAAAGATTTAAAATTCAGCGAACAGCCAACATTAGTAACCCATAACTCAGAAAGAGGCGAAAAACCGCAGACAACTTTTCACAAACATCAGACTGAGATAATTATCATATATGGCCCTGCTATGAAAGTAGGAATTAGCTGTGACCAATGGAAAAATGTGTAAAAAGAGAGATAGAGGAAGACGAAAAGTTTATTGACTTTTTTTTTGTCATGGCATGGAGGGGTGTGCAGCATATAAACTGTTCCATGCTACGGAGAGATCGCAGGCATTGATGAGGCAACGAAGCACATGATCATGATAATTGTTCAAGGCAATTCAATGGCACAAGCACAGTCGTCACTCGTTAAGTGACACACTTGTAGTGACGATCCTGTTAGTGTTGGCGTTGATCCACGAAGTCAAGGACTTAATCCAATAATTCCTACGAGTTAAGCAGTAATACACACTAAGACACCACTGCTCTGGTAGTTTACTGTCTTTAATTCTCTGATCCTATCTTTGAAGTGAAACCCCAACCTTTCTACCCTTCCCCTCTCCCCTATTGTTCCGTATGTGTCAATGAATGGCTGTTCCAGCTATGTGATGAGATGTAAGTCAGTAACTATTGCCAGATGATTTGTTCCCCTTCCTTTGATGATTTACCAGAATTGATAACACCCCCTGCTCCCTCCATCTCTTCCCCATCCCATTATCCAACAGCCTGCTCAGAAAAACTTATTCTCTCTCATTCAATGTCATTGCTTCTATTCTATGCAGAGAAACATGGTCAACAGAAGCTGTTCAGAAACCACGAACTAAGATCTATGGAAAAACATGAACGCACACTTTGACTAGCAAGATAACATCATGATGGCAGTTCTAGGAGGACTTCAGTAAAAGAATATTTGTAGTATATTACTAACTGTTTCAGCTGTTCTTTATGCTTCTTTAGCACATTTTCATATTCTTTGTCGTGTAACTGATGAAACAAGCGGTTGTCCTGAGATTTCTCTTATATCTTCACTTGTCTTTAGTTATTCCCATCTAATGTCATCAATTTCCTCAGGCACCCCCCCCCCCCAAACCCCACAACCCCACAACCCCAACCCATACATTTAACTTTCGTTCCTCTTTTTTTTTTTTCCATTTTCTATTTCCTCTTCTACTTGAACGTTGCAATTCTTATGTATTAGTCTGGCGATATCTGTTAGTAAAAACACGGCGTAACACTCGCTTACGACTTCATACATTTTTTTTTTTTTTTTTGAATATCCAGAAACCATGAGTTGTTAACCCTTTGGCTACTATGGATATCGCAACCCTTCGGCATTGATTCCATGATAGGTAACGTAAATGTGGAAGAATATGTTGCTTTTCTCCCTACCTCTGGGAGTGAACCCGGACCATAATGAGTTCTTCACCCGGTCACCGCGAAGTCCGGTTCGGCCAACTACGCTAGAGAGCCGGGCCGAGACGACTTCATACATAAGGACAGCTATTTTTTCCTGACTCGGCTGTCAATTGTGGATATTTCCATAGGAGCAGCGCACTCTGAATACGATGCGAAAGCTCCATTTTGCTACACCAGCCAACACTGAGCAGTTGTCAGCAGCAGAAATACACCATGAAAAATAGCTGGGGGAAGTTCCTAGCATCGCGATAACATATTTGCTCAGTGACAAAGTCCTTTACATTACGTTGGCACCTTTCCGTCTTTCCAGGCGATAGTGTTATATTGCGCTATGAGGAGGCATGAGACTCACAGCCCATTGCGATGGCGAGTGTGACCAGCAAGACCCTTCACATTTCTCCTTGTTAGCATTTGAATGTAGAACCATTCCTTACATGTTCATGATTTCAACAAAGACATCAAATAACAGACACACACATACAAGCGCACGCGCGCATACACACACACACACACGCACACACGCACACACACACACGTCTGCCTCCTTACCTCCCTGTGGAAAAAACTGTGCGTATATTTCCTTAAAGGTCTCTTCGTTCACAATACCGGTGGGGCACTCCTGTGAAATAAATAATGAATCAAAAAATTACTTCTATAGCAACAACATTTCAGCAAGGATGAAAGACGTTTGACCAAGCAACACAGAACAATGTTATCTGTCGATTTCGTTCATGGGGCTACTGGGGAGTAGACAGGGGTAACTGTGGATCTGTCCTGACTTCTATCATGGTAGTCTCTATTAATCATCTCTACTGTTTCTTTGTGGTCACCGTAACTGTTTTACTATATGCATGTGTGTGTGTGTGTGTGTGTGTGTGTGTGTGTGTGCCCGCGTGCAAGAGGCACCGTAACAGCCTGAAGTAAAAAAAAAAAAAAAAGGACTCAAGAAAAAAAAAAAAAAAAAGCTATGGGCATTGCAAACCAGTATGCAACATTGCAGCATCGGAGTTCAGATCCTTTGAGCCCTTCACTCTCTCCCTCTGAATGTCTTTTGAGGAGCTGAGCCTCCTCCACCACCTTCCCCCAAAGTGTATAGAGAATAGCTCAAGCAAAGGTAGCATTTTACAAATGAAGAATATTTTAGGCAATCTTTCTTAGTCAATTGTAACGAGAAAGAGAATTAATAAAAGCTATATAAATCATATCATATATACGGAAGTGAATCATGGATAGTTTTAGATTAGTGAGCATTTTTTTTTAGAAACTGGGGAGATGTGGTTTTATGAACGAATGATGAGAATACCGTTAACAGATAACAAGAGTAATGAAAATGTCTTTAAAGAAACTGACTCAAGAAGAAAACTGATTGCCTACACCAGAAAGAGATAATCTACATTCTACGCTCATGTGAAAAGAAGGAGAAAACAGGAGCACATCGTGAAAGTAGGAAAGTTGGAGGGGAGGAGAGGCAGGGGGAGATCGAGAGAACAGATTCTAGACAGTTTGGCATCATGTTAAGGAGGGTCATCTGTATCAGAGTTGACTGAAAGTACACGAGACAGAAGGTTGTGGATAGACATGACTACCAACACCACACGGGATGGACTTTAAACAGATCACAACAAGAATTTTGTTAATGAGGCTGAGTCGTTTCCTTTTTGCTCATATAGACATTATACTTAAACGTATTTGTTAACTCATTTAATAGCATTTAATATTATTTCAAGTTTATATACAGGCCTATTTACAATGGCAAACTACTGGACGTAAATGTACCTAGAAAAACCACACAACAGCCAGTGGCTGTTGGGGTTGGTTCTGCAAACGTCCTGTAAAGGATACGCAACTAACTAACATATACATATACTGTTAGTATTATGCTCTTTAACTATGAATTATCATCTTGAAACCTTCTCTCTCCCCACCCCCCTCCCCCTTTGCCCAGAAAATGTGTAAGGTAATGGTCCGTGGGGGTTGAAAATAGGGGTGGGGAGGGGGCGCTGAGGTGGAAGTGAGCAGCCTGCCCATCCCCATACATTCTCAGTGTGGACGCCGCTGGAAACAACAATTAATGCAGCCAGAGCGTACATTGCCAGCAACGGATTAACACTGACAGATAAAGCAGATTAAACTTTCCGGGTTAAAAGAAAAAGCAAGCTGATTTACACAACATTTTCTCAGTTCAACCTAAAATTGATAGAAGATGAAAACGCGTTTTGGAATATCAAATACCGCCCACGTTCTGTTCTGGCTGTGAATTAGGGACACTGTTTACACCGATTAGAAAGAATTAGAGCCCATTTGCAATTTTACGAAGTATATTGAAAGGAATGATGAGCGGCTGACAGAACTGTTGCGAACGCAGGAAGACCGGGGTTAATTGCTAATCTGCACAGCTCTTTGCGACACCAGCTAGGCAGCCCTAAATCCCCAAGCTGGAAAGATTCCCAACCCCTTCAACCCCTGCATCGCACAAGTAGTAAATACTGGTTGTAATGACCATTTTTTGCGGTTGGGGGCAGAGCCCGATAGGCTTTTTTATACAGCATTACTGAAGCAGTGGGGGTATGTACTATAGCTATATTTATAGACACTAACAGGCGTTTGACAGATGGCGTCAACATGACTGATGCCGCCTTAACCTCCCATTACCCTTATGTTACACTTTAAACTAGGTAGACCTGGAAACCAACGTAATTTATAAAAACCTACTTTGAAGTGGATTCTAACTTACAACCTTCGGGTCGGCAGTTACAGCAACAAGCCTCTGTGCCATGGATTTAAAAATAATTATATTAACAGGTTGAACTGCAATTATGCGTGAACTTATTAAATTTTAAAACAACAGCAGGGCAAAGAAATATACGACATCTGTGGACTAGTTTACACTGACATTTTACAAATCTTGAAAATTTAGGACTCTTAACACATACACATACCACTCCCACAATCGCACACTCAAACTCACACATAGTTAGACATACACGCGCATTCACAGCAGTACTATAGCCTACTTCCTAATTTGTTTCAGTCCTTGCAAAGTTCCACACTAAGTTAAGCTCACGGACTCGCCAGCACGTTTCTAGGATCGTCTCTTCACTGAAGGAAATTAACAGAAGAAATGATAAATAGCGGCTAGGGTATTGTAACCATCAGCTGCTAATTGCATCGTTTGCAAAGTGTCTGGCACATTCTGTCTTCTAATTTCCCGCAGGGATGGTCGTCTGAAGAAAATATTGTTGGTGTTAGCAGTGGCTCAGATTGCCTCAACGGCTTACACTGGAGAGACACTGGCAATGCTGATTTATCTCTGCGCATGCAGACGAGAAATATTCTTCCACACATGTCCGCGCCAGATGCGAACTTTCATTCTTAATAAAAACCAGAGTAATTATAGCCAAACACACACGCAAGCTCAATTATATATATATTGATAGATAGATAAGTAAGACAGACAGACAGACAGACAGACAGACAGACAGACAGACAGACAGACAGACAGACAGACAGACAGACAGACAGACAGACAGACAGACAGACAGACAGACAGACAGACAGACAGACAGACAGACAGACAGACAGACAGACAGACAGACAGACAGAGAGAGAGAGAGAGAGAGAGAGATAGATAGATAGATAGATAGATAGATAGATAGATAGATAGATAGATAGATAGATAGATAGATAGATAGATAGATAGATAGATAGATAGATAGATAGATAGATAGATAGATAGATAGATAGATAGATAGATAGATAGATAGATAGATAGATAGATAGATAGATAGTCAGACAGACAGACAGACAGACAGACAGACAGACAGACAGACAGACAGACAGACAGACAGACAGACAGACAGACAGACAGACAGATATATAGATATAGACATAAAGAGAGTGACATATAGATGGAAACGAAGACAGAGACAGAAAGGGTGAGCAAAAGAGAGAGAGAGAGAGAGAGAGAGAGAGAGAGAGAGAGAGAGAGAGAGAGAGAGAGAGAGAGAGAGATATAAAGAGAGAAACACTTTGTTGTAGCAAGAGCGAACAGCGTCCAACGTCTGAGGATGGGTAATCGCTCTACTGTGACGGTATAGAAGCCAACAAATGCAGGCTGGAGGAGAAGTCTACATCCGTATCTACGATGCGTCATGGTGTGAAGACTTGGAGCCGGACAGTCTGGCTCAGAGTGTAAAGGGCAATAAGCGATGTCTCTCAAATATATGTAATTTAACATTGCTCTTCAGCTGTACTATTGCTCCAATCATTCATGCTAGCAACATTCTTTTGCTCTTCAAATGACGATAGAATGGAAGTTATATTATGGGATATGTGTAATACATACATATCATAAGTGAATCAGGTAAAAAAAAAAAAAATAAATAAATAAGCAAATGAAAGCGACGGTCTACGTGCTAATTTGTCCCCCTTTCCTTCCCTTCATAGCATGCTAACAACATATAAGCAATTACGTCTCAGTCATCGTCATCATCATCACCATCATCATCAGTTTCCAATTTTATTGTAAAGCGTTGTTGGGAGAAACAGTTTGCGATTACTGCTTGATGGGCAGCAATGGCTGTTGTCATTCCGTGTCGATGTAGAAGCTCTTTAATGTCATCAATCCATGTTCTCCTAGGAGGGCCTCATGCTTTCAATTCAGATCCTTTCATGTGTAGCGCCTGCGATGCTAGTTGTTCTGGCTGCATTCTTACTGAATGACCAAACCATTTGATCTTCTGTGTCCTAATGACTTTGCTGCATGGTGTTGTTCCCACAGTCTGTCTGATGATATCATTTCTAACTTTGTCTGAGATGGTTAAGTTGGCGGCATTTTTCAGGCATCTCATTTCACAGATGGTAATTTTACGTAGGTTAGCCTTTGATAATGTCCAGGTTTGGCACTGGTAGCACAGTGTTGGTATGAATATGCTATTTATAATCTGTTTCTTGGTGCTCATACTTATGTTTGGATGTCTCTTAATAACGGTGTCAGTTGGTATATAAGTGCACTGCCTCATTGCCATCTTCTTTCTATTTCCTGATCTATTCTTCGATCCTCTGAGAATATAATTCATGGATATTTAAATTCTTTAACTTGCATCAGACAGATACATTACGTCTCAATATATGACTAAATTTGTTTCTGTTGTTGTTGTTGTCATTTTTAAGTCCCAGCTCAGCTGTCGTCGGGGACCCTAAAATGATCTGACGGTTGAACGGGGTTTCTGGGACTTGTGCCCGGGTGATTCTCATCCGAATGGTGGCACCTTGTCTCAGCGGGTGTTTATCGCTCGTTGTAGTGTCCTGGTGGGGTTGATCTGAACTCCCTCGCTAACAGCGTATGTTTGAGAACAAAGGGCAACAGACCATTGATGTGGTCAGTGTTAGGTTTGTGACTTTTACTTCCAATAATATTCTTTGCTAAACACTGAAAGCTGAATTAGCCGGGGAGACCAGGTCAATTGAGATAACATTCGAAATAGGGATTCGAACCTATGATGCTAAAGAAAGAGGTAAAGAGGTCTAAAGATTAAATCTTCGATATTTGAACCATAGTTGAGAAATGCACATATAAATTTTAGAATACTATGTACCCAGAGAAAAGCATTCAAATCG